ACTGGCTTTCCAATATCAGATGCCAGCCTTGCACACAGCAGAACCACAACACTGGCCTCCCTACCAAAAAGTTTTTTAAATGGGATAACTAGGGGTAGACATTTGACTTAGTGGTTAAGACATCAATTGAGACACACCCACATAACACATCAAAGTGCCTAGGTCCAGCTTCCTACTAATACAGACCTTGGCTGGAATAATTAGGCTCCTGTCATTCACATAGGCAACCCGGATTTTTTCCACAGCTTCAACCAGAGATTGTATGAATTTGTGGAGTGGACTAGCAAATGAGACTTCTGTCTCACTGTTTCTCAAATAAATTATTTAAAAAAAAAATTTTATAGGGAGGTGGGTATTGTGGTACTGTGGGTCAAGCCACCACTTGGGGATACTCACATCCCATATCAAATGCCTAGGATCAAGTCCCGCTTCTGCCACTGCTTCTGATCCAACTTCCTACTAATGTGCCAGGAGGCAGCAGATGATGGTCAGGTATTGAGTCTCTGCCACCCATGTGGGAGACGGACTGAATTCTGGTTTCCTGATGTGGGCCTGGCCCACCCCCAACTGTGGCAGGCATTTGGGGAGTGAACCAGCAGATGGAAGATTTCTCTGCCTCTCAGTCTGCCTTTCAAATAAAATGAAAATAAATAAATATTTTTTAAAAAATTTGTAAAAGAAAAAATTGAGGCCAGGGTTGTGGCACACCAGATTTAGCCTCCACTTATGATGCTGGCATCCCATTAGCAGAGTGCCAGCTCAAGTTCTAGCTGCTTTGCTTCTAATCCAGCTTCCTGCTAATGTGGCTGGAAAAACAGCAGATGATGACAGCCCAAGTATTTTGGCACCTGTCACTCATGTAGGAGACCTGGATGGAGCTCCTGGCTTCAGCCTGACCCAGACTTGGCTGTTACAGCCATTTGGAAAGTGAACCAGCAGACAGAAGAATCTCAACCTCTCTCTCTCTCTCTTTCTCTCTCTCTCTCTCTCTCCTTCTTCTTCTCCTCCTCCTCCTCCTTCGTGTCCTTGTCATTCCACATTGCAAATAAATAATTTTTAATAAAATTAAAAATTGGAATCATTAAAAGCACCATAAAAATCTTAGATGATAGACTATTATATAGCCATCAGAAATATTTACAAAGAATTTTAGCAACAGCATATATATAATAAAAAATGATAAATGGAGTAAAGGCAGAAATAAAATTGTAGGTACTATATGGCCCTGGAAATGTAAAAGCAGAAATATGCAGAGGTACAAAATACTGAAAATAAATACATTAAAATGTGAACAGTTTTCTACAGAGGGTAAGATTTTGGGTGATTTCCATTTTCTTCTCTGTACTTTTCTATATTTTTTATATTTCCTATAATGAGTACACGATATTTTTTGTTCAGGTTCCAAGAAATGCACTTTTTACCCTACAATCAAAAGCCAACCACTTATGAGAAATTTTATCCTAAAAGAATCAGTAACAATAAGAAGACTGTACATAACATATATGCCTAAGAAAAATATCTTTCATGACTGGGGATCTCAGTTTAAAGGGACATAGCTCTGAATACTTTCCGTCTTCTTGCTTTTCGAGTTGGTTTACTATAAATGAGGAATGAGTTATGTAAATGTGAGATGCCCGACAAACTCTATACTGTAAGATTACTAGGACTTCTTAACCTTAACATCTAAAACCTTACATTTAAAATAGATGAAGACCTAAATATCATGGATTGGGTCATGTTATTCCATACATCAAAAATGGCTAATTCCACAGGCAAGCCGTTCCCCACTCCAGATGTGTTCCCATATCTCTTGTGCCATTCCTCCTTGAGCTGATGCTAGCTCTATATGTTTCACCTGATTATGTTCCTAAGGGGCAGACACCATGCTATTCACTGATGAACTCCACTCCAGCACAACACTTGCACGGGGTGGGTACTAAATAATGCTGTCAGACTGAAGGAGAGCCAACTGGCCCAATGTAGTGAATTCTTTCAGTGAGACAGCCAGCAAAGCCCAATAGTTGAAAGCAGATAGTCCCTCTGATTTTAAATCAGACACCTCGCATGAGTGACCAGCAGCAAATGTCATGGGCCTGCCACTTTAAGAGGACTGGCAAACTGACTGTGTTTACACAATCCTAATTAAAACTAAAGGGCACTGGGGGAAAGAAGAGAAACGGGGAGATTAAGAGGTGTGGATTCTGTAGGTCAGCTCCTCCTCTGTTTAGAGTCCAGATCTTCCAGCCAAGAGCCTAGTTGACTTCCCTAAGCAGTTGGTTCCCTCCTTGAGGTCATCTGTAGGAGCTAAGTATTAAAAAGCAACTGATTAGGCCACCATTTCTCCAGCAACTGGTCTTCTCTTGGGCATTTAGCTTCTAATTGTGGTTACATGGGGTTTGTTCTCTAAGCGAATCCCATTGCAGCAATCATTAAGAGAATTCCTTTACAGAAATGCTTGAAATTAACAACAACAGGGTACAAAGCCGCTGGAGCCTCTAAATCACAATATCTACACTATTCATGTTGATGAAATTCACCCCCACCTTCTTCAAAAACAATAGGCCCCACCAAGGAACTTCCCAAGACCAGTATGTCCTGTGATTGTTTTTCAGGAGAAAGCTCCCAGTGCCTGCTTCTCATCCAATAGCTTTTTCGAGTTTGATCACCCAGATATGACTGCAAGCAGAGAGTAGTCACTAGGATTCAAGGGGGTAAAAGGGAATTCTACTCCTATCACCAGTCTATAGTTAAGTAGCTTAGAACAAGCAGATACTTCCCCATGTCAAACTTCCTTAGACCTAATTTGATTTTCAGATCCAGAACCCCTAGCATCTCTCAACTCTCTTCATATAATAGTGAGGAAAACAGGGTGGGTGTTGCGGCACAGTGGGTTAGCTGCCCCCTGAGATGCCTACAGGCCACATCAGAGTGCCTGGTTTGAGTCTCAGTTACTTTACACTTCGAATCCAGCTTCCTGCTAATGTGCCCAAGAGGCAGCAGATGATGGTGCAAGTACTTGGATTTCTGCCTCTCATATGGCAGACCCATATGGAGTTCCTGGCTCCCAGCTTTGGCCTGGCCCAGCCCTGGGTGTTTGCAAGCATCTGGAGGGTAAACAGATGAATGGAAGCACTCTCTTTCTCTCCCCAACCCCACTACCCCAGCTCCCCACCCCAGCCACTCCTCCTGGTGTCACTCTGCCTTTCAAATAAACAAATAAATCCCGGGGTTGGGGGGTGGGGGTGCAGTTTTTAGAGAATGAGAAAAACAAAGCCTAGAGTTAGAGGATAGCAAGTGATCTTACAGTGACTTAGTGACCAAATCTTTTGCCACTAATACCTAACACTTCATTTTGCTGATGAGTTATCAACAGAACCACAATTTCCAGGCACAGAGTCCAAGGTACTATACGCATTCTAATTTGAACACATCCAAGATAACAACCCCTCTGCTTTGACACCTTGCCCCACCCTCACTCTTTCTCAAACCTACAACTGCTGACTCAAAAAAAAATTAATTAAACAATTTATTACATCACTTCTTCTACAAAAGCCTGGAGCTTCCAAACCATCTACTGGAGCCACACCACCTGGAGATCATTCTGACCTGGGCATGCTGATGGGTGGTGGTTGCCACAGCCAGAAAAATCTCAACTCTTTTCTGTGGTTCTTCTGCAGATGGGATTGCAATGGCGCCTCAGCTGCCACTCCCTGCAGCAACAAGCTCCAACCCTCTTGGGCCCTCAACACATTTGTGATTTGGGAGGACAACCAGGAGAAAGGCTGTCTCCACTATCTTGTCACCTTGACCTAGAAGTAAGCGTACGCACAATGAGTCTAAAGGAAACTGACTCCTTTATTAATAAGTTTTTCAAATCTTATTAAACAAAATGAAAACTATAAATAAAATGTAGTCTCCTTAGGTAGTGATTTACTTATTCTAATAATTTTTCCATAGTTCAAAATATTTATTAAACACTTCTTTGGGAATTGTTCTAAAAATCTACTCTATGTGAGACACAGAAAAATTAGGTCTTACTGTTTTAAAGTCACACCTCATTCTTCACCAAAAAAAAGGCTTGACTCTTCTTCTCCCAGTATCTTCTGGCTGTTTCAAAAAATTGAATCCACTGAGCAAAAGTGAAGATTTACTATCTTTGAGGATATCCAAAAGATCAGCTCCAAAGTAAAAAATGCTTTGAGCTCCTAGAGCTTCACCAGAACACATATAAAGGCCAAGAACACAATTATTTTGAGAAGGACAGATTTAAATCATTGTAAGTGACCCACAATTACAATGCAGGGGACAAGATATGTTCACTGTCACATGTGTTAAAAATACACTAGTATATTACTTCATAATCACACATCACATGACCATAAATTTGGCCCTGGAAAAAAATCTTCAAAATCATATAATCCAAGTTGTCCATTTTTATATGAGGAAATTTCAGCCACTGAGGGTAGACAATTTGTCCCCATTCACACAGCTGGTCACAGTTACCAGGACAGAGATCCAGATACTCTGACTCCCAGCATAAAACACTAACACTTACTTATTCACACAGCTCCCTCCTTCCCTGCCCCTCACCTTGGTCTTTCATTCTCCTGGTCAAAAGAGAAGATCACTTGGGACATGAAAGCACACTAAGAGCAGTTTTTTTGAAACCTAGCAGCTGAGAAATGATGGCTTAAGACAAGGACCTCTCTGGAGCGGCCCCAGTGGACATGAACTAGTGTTTACTGTCTGCCTAGTAATGTTCTGGGCAATCTATCTCAGAACACCAGCCAGTGAAAACCTCAGGATACTTGCCCCACAATTAAAAACATACATGTTTTAAACCTCTCGCCTACCCCCTGCAGTAACGTATTTGCTTCGAGTGATTCAAAGAAGGTTGCTCTGAAAAATCCACATCGGGGAAAAAGAAAGTAGCAGAGTCACCACGCAGGAAAAAGCTGACCAATGAAAATGCAGAGGAAGCAGAAACCATCTTAACTCACCTCCTGGTGGACAGCCTCCGCAGGCCAGGACAGAGCAATCTCCGGCAGTGTGGATTGGAATTAGCCTCCGCTCAGGGAAGGGGCAAACAGACAGGAACGTTTGCTCATTCCCCTATCCCACCCACTGTTGGTCAGCTCAGCCTCACATCATCCTGGGCAGCCCAGCATTCTGTGCATCTGAGAGCAACCAGAAGGGAAGCCATGCAGGCTAGGTCAATGGGGTGAGTCAGTGGCAGAGCAGGAAGAGTCTCTGGGGCAGAAATTCTGGCCTCCTGTGGCAAGACTGCCAAACCACACCCTTAGCTGGTCAGCACTGGGAGGGCCCTGCCCTATTAGGAATCCAGTCTCTAAACAAGGAAAGGTCCTTCCTCAGGAGGCTCCACACCACTCTAATTTTCAAGTCTCTTTCCTGCCTTGGAAACTTTCCACAGTTTCGTTTTCTTTCCTTCCTGTCCTTCTCTCTCTCTTTTTTATTTGAAAGGCAGAGTGACAGAGAAAGATCTTCCCTCTTGCTGGTTCACTCACCAAACGCTCACAATAGCTGGGACTGGGCCAAGCTCAAGACAGGAACTCCAACCAGGTCTCTCACATGGATGGCAGGGGCCCAAGTCCTTGGGGCATCTTCCACTGCCTTCCCAGGTACATTAGCAGGGAGCTGAATCAGAAGTGGAGCAGCAAGGGGCAAGCATTGTGGCATAGTGGGTAGGGCCATTGCCTGCAATATCAGCATCCATCAAATGGATGCCGGTTCAAGTGCCAGCTACTCCACTTCTGAACCAGCTCCCTTCTAATAACCCTGGGAAAGCAATAGAGGATGGCTCAAGTGCTCGGGCTCCTGCCACCAGTAGGAGACCTGAAAAGAAGCTCCTGGCTCCTGGCTTTGGCCTGGCCCAGTCCTACTTGTTGCAGCCATCTGAAGAGTGAACCAGTGGATGGAAGATCTCTCTCTCTCTCTCTCTGTAGCTCTGACTTTAAAAAAAAAAAAAAAAAAATGATGAAGAAGGAGGAAGAGAGCAGCAGCAGCAGTGGCAGCCAGGACTCAAACTGGCACTCTAACACGGGACGCCAGCATCACGAGCGGCAGCTTAACCTGCGGCATCACAACACTGGCCCCTTCCAGGGCTTTCTTCTCCCTCAAGCATCACACCAAAATTCTTTGGCTTAACTTTCCAAGTCCTTCATCATATGGCCTCAAGCCATTTATTCAACTCTATTTCCCACTGTTCCACAGAGTATGGTCTGAACTAATTCCACTTCCCTCTGCATGGGCCACACCCTTGCACATTCCCATGCCTTCAGTAATTCAGGCAGGGAAAACTCAAACCCTTTCAGGGGTCAGACAGGTCACAGAAGTGAACACTCCAGTGGGGCACACAGCACAACTAGGAGCACTAACCCCTTCTAAAGTTGTTCAAACATTTTAATTCAAATATGTATGCCATATTTCACAACGAACCGTTGTAAATAATATTAATATTCCATCTTGTAAGTAAGACAACTTCCTCAAGAATAGGCAGTTGGCGGCCGGCGCCGCGGCTCACTAGGCTAATCCTCCGCCTAGCGGCGCCGGCACACCGGGTTCTAATCCCGGTCGGGGAGCCGGATTCTGTCCCGGTTGCCCCTCTTCCAGGCCAGCTCTCTGCTGTGGCCAGGGAAGGCAGTGGAGGATGGCCCAGGTGCTTGGGCCCTGCACCCCATGGGAGACCAGGAAAAGCACCTGGCTCCTGGCTCCTGCCATCGGATCAGCGCGGTGCGCCGGCCGCGGCGGCCATTGGAGGGTGAACCAACGGCAAAGGAAGACCTTTCTCTCTGTCTCTCTCTCTCACTGTCCACTCTGACTGGCAAATGGCCAAAAAGAAAAAGGGATGAACGAGGCCGCAGTTGGGAAAACACAGGACCCCATCTAATTTTTTTCACATCAAAGGGGCCCACTGCATGTGGTTTCCCAGAGGTGCAAACACCGCTGGAGATACAGAGTTCTCAAATTCACTTTTCATTATATATAATCTTAAACGTGAAATAGGAAGCCCAAATCACAGCTTTTCTCACCAGAACCCAACTGCCTCAGAGGCTCTCTTCCAAGTTCCATCTTCCTGCCAGTCTTTCCCAGTTGTTCCAAGTTCTACTGAATTCCTTCCTCTCTCAATTACAGATTAGGCTATACAATCGACTGCCAAATTATATATTGTCTTCAAAACTGGATATTACTTCCATGTGCTTCAGTGTTGGCTTCATTAATCAAACTGCTGTAGTTCCATCACGAAAAATGTTTAACTCAAATCTAATCAAGAGGAAACAATCACGCAAATCCACATTAGGAGACATCCAGCAAAACTAACCCAAACTCTTCAAAAACATGAGTGCTATGAAAGACACACACACACACACACAAAAAGGCATTCATGATTAAAAGAGATTAAAGAACTGCTCAAGGTTAAAGCAGACTAAACCATCAAAAACTATCAAAACTATCTAAAACTATCAAAATCATGGCCACTAAATGCAGACACTATCCTTCAACAGATCTTGAATAGAAAAAAATTATTACAAAAGACAGACTTGGAATCATTTTTAAAATATTTATTTTATTTATTTGAAAGGCAGAGTTACAGAGAGAGGGAGAAAGAGAGCTCTTGCATCCACTGATTCACTCCCCAAATGGCCATAATGTCTAGGGCTGGGCCAGGCTGAAGCCAGGAGCCAGGAGCTTCTTCTAGGTCTCCCACATGGGTTCAGAGGCCAAAGCACTTGGGCCAGCCTCTGCTGCTTTCCCAGGAGCTGGATCAGAAGTGAAGCAGCTGAGATTAGAATCGGTGCCCATACGGTATGCAGACCATCCCAAATGGGCTTAACCCACTACGCCACAATGTCAGCCCTGATCCTTGGGAAATTTTAAGAAATCTTAACAAGTATACTGGATGTATTCAACCAATTTTAAATTGTTTCAGTTCTAGTAATACTGTGGTTATATGAGAAGAGCCCCTTGTTGTAAGGAAATATTTGCTGAAATATTTAGTGATGAAGTAATATGATGTGCACATCCAACAGTCAAAAGGTGTCGCTCCCCCTCTTCGTGGAGGAACGACACTAAACCCTGCGCTGTTCTTTTGTCTGCTCGGCCCTTCCCGGGTTTGCTGCTGGTTCTTCCCGGGTTGGCTGCCAATCCTTCCACCTCCGTGGAAGGGCGGCTCCCCCTGTCACTTTCCCCACTTCCGCAGGGGAGCAGCACACCGCCGGCCGGCTCTCTCGGGGGCTGCTCAGATGTTATCCTGATGTTCCCGGTGCATGTTGTCTCTCTCCTCCTTTATAGTCCTCTTCCACCAATCCCAACTCTGCTACCCACACGCCTAGTACGCTGCTCTCCTCCAATCAGGAGCAGGATCAGCTCCTGCAGGTTACTGGTCGAACTGGAGGCAGCTGTGTAAAAGTTGTTTACTCCTCTCCCAGCGCCATATTGTGGGAGAGCAGATGCACAGAATAAGTCTTAATTCCAGTAACTTAGTCTAGTCCGAGTTGCTCCCCACAAAAAGGTTCAGAAAATGAAGGATAGATAAGATGTAAATATGGCAAAATGTTAATAATCAATGAATCTGGGTGAAGAGTATACAAAATATTTGTTAGATTTATAAAGTAGATAAAAGTTTGAAAATTTTCAAAGTAAAAAACTGGCAAGGAGAGAAATTCTGTATTACACACATCTTTATATTCTCAGCTGTGCAGCACTCTTTAGTTATTTGCTCATTGCCTAAGGAACTACACTTGCGAGATAAGCAACAGAGTTGACTCTGCTGCAGTTCATGAGGGGTACTGTGGGAAACTCTTAGGAGACAAGAGGTTTCTCTAAAACTCACATTGTCATACCACAGGAAGTATAGAAACAGGAAACAGCTATTATGACCTCACTCCTCACCATGGCCATCACAGAAGTACAGACACATAACCAACACCCACAAACAGGGCAGAATGCAGCTGCTGCCCACATAGAGGACCATGTGCTGAGGCTGCACTGCAGCCACCTTGCCACAGGGTACCAAAAACCTGAGAGCCTTCTATACACGCATCTCTGGCCAGTCATAGAAAGACATTCAAGTGGTCAAATATATGCGCCTGACATATATGAAGTCTTAACCTCTTACCAGATAAACCAGTTCTCAGCTGCACAAAGGCAGAAGAAATCTGCAAGGATGAATCACTGGTGTTTCCTGCACTGGCTTCCAAGAAACTCCATAAAAAGGACAGAAAGGGCAGGTGACAAGCACCAACAGAGACCTCAACCCAGGACCGTGCGGTACAATAATGTCCCATCTCCCTTCTACAGCCATCAGATCATTTTGTTCCTTGAAGTGGTCCCTTACTAAGATGAATTAGCTTCTTCCATCCGCTGGTTTACTCCCAAATGGCCACAATGGCCAGGGTTGAGCCAGGCCAAAGTCAGGAGCCAGAAACTCCATCCACGTTTCCCACATGGGTGGCAGGGGCACAAGTACTTGGACCATCTTCAGCTGTTTTCCCAGACTCATTAGCTGGGAGCTGTTTTAGAGACAGAGAACTCTGGTATGGGGCCAGCACAGCAAGCAGCAACTTAACCTGCAGCACCACAACACTGGCCCCCTAGTATCCAACCCTTAACCTCAGTTCTCTCCTCCCCTCAATGACAGCCGAGATACTGCTTTCTCCAGATGGCTTCTACCCTAACCTACCAGAAGGAATAGTTAAAATTATTGGGGCGTGTTGACACCACGGCATAGCAGGTAAAGCCGCCACCTATAGTGCCGGAAACCCATATGTGCACCAGTTCAAGTCTCAGCTGCTCCACTTCCAATCCAACTTTCTGCTATGGCCTAAGAAAGCATTAGAGGCCGGCGCCGCGGCTCACTAGGCTAATCCTCCGCCTTGTGGCGCCGGCACACCGGGTTCTAGTCCCGGTCGGGGCGCCGGATTCTGTCCCGGTTGCCCCTCTTCCAGGCCAGCTCTCTGCTGTGGCCAGGGAGTGCAGTGGAGGATGGCCCAGGTGCTTGGGCCCTGCACCCCAGGGGAGACCAGGAAAAGCACCTGGCTCCTGGCTCCTGCCATCGGATCAGCGCGGTGGCCATTGGAGGGTGAACCAATGGCAAAGGAAGACCTTTCTCTCTGTCTCTCTCTTTCACTGTCCACTCTGCCTGTCAATAAATAAATAAATAAATAAAATAAAAATAAAAAAATAATTTAAAAAAAAAAAAGAAAAAAAGAAAGCATTAGAAAACGGCCCAA